ATCCGCGGGACGTGCCCTTTGCAATCGCCATCTCTACGGGACGGCTTAGGTCCATCGGGACCGTCCGGGGGAGGAGATATCGGCTGGCAACCCAGGAGCCCACGATCGCCCCCCCCATCGCCGCGACGCCAGCTCCGCCCTCGCAAAACAGTTTTCATTAAAAGGCTTAGAAGCATTTTTTTCCTGGAGCTGAAATTACAATAACCACTGTGAGTTTCTTTTAATGAAGCCATATATGGGTCTAGGCTTTGATGGACTAGAGTCTGATGCATTTGACACCAGGAACTCTAGCCCATAGAAGCTATCATTGGTTTATCTAAAAAAAGAAGATTCTGTAATGTCTACAAGGAAGAAGAATCAGATGGGGCTTCCAGGTATATCTCCAATTTTAAGACAGCTTTCCCAGATGTATTGCTTGCAGTTTCTAGACTTCCAGTGAGGATGGGAAAGGGTACTGTATTGCTCCCAAAGGACTGCTTGCTCAATCTTTGTGGTCTCCGTCCTCTCTCATTATTTCTTGCAGAGATGTCCTCTGGCAAAGTGGCCCTTTATGTCCTAGCTCTTCGGTCCGCCTGTCAGAATCCTACTGATGTCAGCACACCAGAAAAGCATGTCAACCTGGTCCAGGTCCTTGAGAAGAAAACAAAGGAAGAGATTAAGCATTTCGGTAATAAGGCGAATGGGCATTAGATTCCTGCCTATCACTCAGGTGACAAGATAACAAGAATATGGATGATTAATGCACGAATCCAGTTCTCTGTGCTGTTCCCCCACCTCTGTGTTGCAAGGATGGTACTCGACTGAATTGAAATGCCCATCTCTCAGTCTATGCTGTAGATATTCTCTTAGCCAGCTTGGCAATATCTATTCTTTGTCCCTGTTACGAGTAACATTTTATCTTCTATATTTGAAAGACTAGTGCAACTTTAGTTGCCTACAAACATCCTTAAAACGAGATAGGATAACTTTTCCTCAGAAAAGTTGAATCTAGTTTCTTCCCTATTTCACCTTACAAATGGCAACTGAATCATTTCAGTTGCCAGCTGGGGAATTCTGGAACTGGAATTGATCTGGAAAGTGCTAGTTGAGAAAAGGTAATTTCATGTGATTTAGAATCCTGCACCATCAGGGTTATAAATTGCACTGGAGTCCTACAGA